GAGGTGGATGGGCCAGGTGGCGGTATTGAAGAACTCAAGCATGGCAACAGTAGTGAGGTTGGCCCAGACTCGGGCAGTGTTTCGTTCTGCTGTGCATAGGGTCGCTATGAGTCTGTGCTGACTCAATAGCACCTAACAGCAGCAACACACTACCAGAGCTCTTTATTATTGCTGGAAGGTGATTTACGACTAGTAGTACACAAGTGTATAATCTACAGACCAGCATTTTGCTTCAAATGAAGACAGTGTTCTTTAGAATTTATGCTTTCTGGATCATTATTATATAAAGATCAGAGTCCTGGTGTGGCGCTGTGGGTTAATGCAGCAGGCTGCAAAGCCATTTGAACTGCAAGGTGGGCGGTTCAAGTTCACCAGCTGCTCCTCGTTAACCCTATACATGGTTGCTCTGGGTTGGAACCAACTTGACGGGACTTAACAAAACAACAACATTATATAAAGATCAGATCTATTTATAAGTCACTCTATTTTCTCTTATTTTTGTTTTTTATTTTCTCTGAATTTTTGAGTGCACACACACACACACACACATATATATATATATATTTTTTAAAGTTCATCTTTTTTCTCATTAATTTGCTTTTCTGTAGTTTCCCTAACACTTGTCAGTATCTGTCTTGCAGCTTTCAATAAAAAAAGTCATTATTTCTGGAAGGTGAATTATTAGCTTCCTTTCTTCACTCCTCCCTAAATCCGTACCCTTTGCCACCTAACTCTGAAGTTCCTTCCACTAACGGTGAATGTGTCTCTTCCTACTAATTGTGGCTTTGGCTAAAGACCTCTGGGTGGTTCTGAGCTCAGACCTTATTCTGTTCATACATCTGTCATCACCTTAAGAAAAAAATGTCCTGGCTAGCTCCTTAGTTCAGGGAGAAAAAGATCAGACTAGATCTAACCGATAGCTTAGAGTCACTCATCCCAAGCTCAGCCCAAATTAATAGAGTCACTCGATCCAATCCTCATAGACTGTAGAATACCATAGGATGCTTCGTGGTGGTGGTTAGGGGCCATTGAGTCAGTTCCGGCTCATGCGATCCTGTATAGGGTTTCCAAGGAGCTGCTAGTGAGCCTGAACTGCCGACTTTGTGGTTCAAACTGATGTTTGTGGTCCAGTGCTTTATCCTATTACACCAATAAGTTTTTAGAGCTATTCAAGTGATATTTGGGACTACAGGAAACATGCTTATGTGATTGACTATCCTTTAGGGGAGGAGGGAGAGCAGCCTCTTCCTTCCTATAGGGCTAGAGTTTACAGATGCTAAACACCTTGGTAGAGAAATGGGAGTAAGATGAAGGGAAGCAGAAACTATTTCCAGAGTAAGTAGAAACTCCCTTTGGGAGGCCTGGTGGAGGAAATGATGTTGTCGATGGCCCTGTTCCCACAGAAAGCAACTCCAAGGAACACAGCCTGTTTCCCAGCAAGATGGCCAAAGCCTACTAAAGTCATGTGGGGGGTGGGCAGAAGGAAATGTCCTCTGGGTCCCAGTTTGTGTACTCTCCTGCCACTTTAGGCTATAAGGATTTCTTTCTTCCAACCTGGGTAATTTGTCCCTTTCAGGGAATATGTATACATTAAGTGAGCTCTTTATTCTGTCTCAAAAGATAAAAATAGATTTCCTTTACTTTTCAAAATATGGTATACACCAAAAAAAGGAATTAACTATAACCACCCTCACTGAGTCCATGTAGCCAAAACTGAGTCTCAATTTAAGACTTTTTTTCTATGTGCACAGTAGTCCCTTCTCATGCATTGTTTTGCTTTCTGTGGTTCAGTTACTTATTCTGCCATCTGAAAAGATTTAAATTGTGCACCATTCTGTGTTGTTGTTAAGTGCCACCAAGTTGTTTCCAACCCATAGGAACTCTGTATAGTTTCCAAAGAACGGCTGGTGGGTTTGAACTGCTGACCTTGTAGTTAGCAGTTCAGTGCTTATCCTTCAGCACATACCAGGACTCTGTGCCATTCTGAGGGGTGAGGAAATATCATACCATCTTGCTCCATCCTAGAGCCAATTTCCTCTTCCTTCACTGAAGTTGAGGAGCTCTGCTAGTGTAGTGGTTACAAGTCGGGCTACTAACCTCAAGGTCAGCAGTTCGAAACTACCAGCTGTTCTGTAAGAGAAGATGAGGCTGTAAAGATTTACAGCCTCAAAAACCCTACGTAGGGTTTCTATGAGTCAGAAGTGACTCCATGGCACACTGCCACCACCACCAAAGTTGAGCCTGGCAAACACAGTTGAGTGAGCAGCTAGGCTGTCCCGCCAGGGCACCCAGGTACCTGTTATATATATATAATATCATAGTATATATGGAGTCCTATTGTAATGCTGTAGGGTAAGCACTGCAGGTCAGTTTGAACCACAAGGTTGGTAGAACATATCTCCTGTGGGTAAGAGGGGAATACAGTAATAATTTATCTTGAAGGTGAGTTACTATCTATTAGGCCACAATAACAACAATTTGTATTCAAGTCAAGATGGAACTGTCAATTTGTTTGGAAAACGACGTTTACCAATGTCATTAACAAAACCAAAAAAGGGTCATGTAACTAATTTTATTCAATTTTCCAAATCCTTGCCGCCATCTGTCTATAATAACATCTACTGGGCTAGCCCTTGCATGTCGGGCTCAGTGAGAAAAGCGATCCAGTTCTTATAAAAATTATTTTTGAATCAAGTTGTCTGCCCTCACTGTGTCTTCCTCCATACCAAGTCCTCCGCTGAGGGGTCCTGGATTTCTCACGGTGATTTCTTCACTCCTGCCTGGAACTCCTCAGCAGATCAACAATGGCCCACCCTGACCTTTAACCTGTATGAACAAACTATACCCAGGCCATTTGGTTTTTAGGAGTTTGCCAAGTTGGACTGGGGATGATGGCCCCAGGTCTCCGCTACATTGCGGGGGTCCCCAGAACCATGCCGCAGCCCATCTCATTTCTGTCACTGAACAGTTGTGGAGATTTGACTTTGTGCCAAACACATCTTTTAGGATTGTGTGAAACCAGTAAGAAAGGAATACTGTCAACTGTCACTACAGCTGAAAGTAACGAGGCACTTGCCACTTTGAGAACTAAAAACAAATCTTCTGTAAAATCATGTTGCTAAGCTGCCTTTCCCCCCTTCTCACTTTTTGTCAACATTTCCAATGATCTTTACTTCTCCACTTTCATCTAACACACAGCAAGTTGAGCTACTTCTAAGAGGGAACCCCTGAATCTCATGGCTCTGAGCTACTTCACCCTGGTTCATCCCCTTACTATCTTCCAGGCTTCTGGCAGAAAGTCCTTTCCTTCCCTTCTTTCTTTGACCCTGGAGGTACCTGTTTCCAAGATCTTAACTTCAGGATTTCCAGGATTATAATTTTCTCCTTTCGAAGTCTCACATGCACACATATATGGTATAAATGGCTGATGACAATGTAGCCTATGCCCTTTGAATTTTAAGAGTGAGTTTTTACATGTGTACGTGTGTATATGTGCACACACAACATATACATATGTGTATATGTGAGTGTGTATTTGCATATATATGAGTGTGTATTCACTCACATACACACACACACCTACACTTTTTCTTGATTGGTTTCCCCATAAGTAAACTTTCACCAAGCTGCTCTGAAAGCTCTCTAAAGGCCATGGTTGTTGTTATTGTTATATGCTGTCCAGTTAGTTCTGACTTAAGGAGCAGCTGGTGGGTTTGAACCATCAACCGTGTAGTTTGCAGTCCAGTGCTGATCTTACAGCACCATACCAGGACTCTTAAAGGTCATTATTGCCAATCAAAGCAAGGATGTGAGCTGACATATGCCGACAGGACTAACTGCCTCCTTGCTTTTCCCTCTGGTGACACTACTTGAGTCTCCTAGGTACCTTATTTGTTCTTAGGTATAGATGGCTATTACCTTTGTACCTTAAACGGCTCACAACCTTATGAGAAAGAGATGAAGCTACCGAGGGTGAGTTTCAAACAGGATTTGGTAGAGTGGAGTGGAGGAGATTGGTCCTAAGGCAACCATACTGATCACCTCCCATTCCTCTCTCTGGCTAGGTGTGCTGTGACCCACAACACTACAGTTTCTGAGTGGGAACTTTATGAGCATGGCCAGCCACTGGCCACAGACAGGGTGCTTATCTTCCAGACTCCACCATTCAGAATCTGGTTGAGATCCATTGCTGTTATTGGTGAGTGCCATTGAGTTGATTTCAGCTCATAGCAACCCTGTACAGGGTTTCTGAGGAGCAGCTGGTGAGCTTGAACTGCCAACTTTGTGGTTCACAGTCCAGTGCTTATATAGTGCCACACCAGAAGCTCATTTGAAATCCAGAGTGGAGACACAAAGCCCTCAGAGCAGTCAATGTAGTTCATTGTTAGAGTGCAGGCAGATACTTCACAGGAAGTCCTCTCTGATCTGCACTTGGCACTTTCATGTTCTGAACATTTGATATTCAGTTCAATCCTATGATCCTTGACTATACCTGTCTCATTCCAAAATAGATTAGATATAAACAATTAGCAAAAAAAACCTACTACAGCAGCAATAGCAGCTGACAGCCTGACTCAAAAGAGGAAAAAGACAAAAGGTGATATAAGAACTCAAAAGAGGGACATTAATGAAGGAGCAAACCGTTTACACACCTCATTGTCTCATGATGACATAGCTGTACTGTATCACAGCCCGATATAGTAACTGGTATTGCGAGTCATAACTCTGGGTCCTCTAGAACAGTTGAAATGACCTCCAATGTGCTGTTTAAAAGGGTAAGTCTACAGCCCTGGGAAAGGTGACAGAATTGAAAAAGTTCCCTAGAGGAGACAAGTGGTTACAGTCACAGTACAATATGGCATCACTCCTACCTCTGGATGTTATCTTCAAGTTGTTTGACTCTGAATTCCTCCTCCTCAGACTGCCTCCTCCTGGCTTCCTCCTCTTCGGCAGTACCCGCAGGTATGCCCTGAAGCAGCCATTTTTCTCGAAGCAATTTGGACTGTGAGAATGGGGGAAAGAACAGACAAGACGATAATTTTCAACCCACACCCACGTCGCCATCCACAGTGCCACCGTTTTAGCCCACCCTCTTCCCTAACTTGACTACCTATTTCCTTCCAGCACAACCACCAGAAGGATTTATTTCTACAATTTTTATTATTAAAAAAAGTGAAAAAAGAAAAAAAAAAGTGAAAATATATACAAGAAGAAGGAGCGGTGTAATGAAAGCTTATATGATCCCATCTAGATTGAACAATTAGAAATATTTTGCCATATTTCCCTATCTTAATTTTTCCGTTGAATTACTTTAAAGTAAATAACAAACACCATGCTATGTTGCTCATAAATACTTCAGTATGAATTTCTAAAAAATAAGGACATTTTTTAATATAAAACCACAGTTCCATTACATTTCTTAAGATCACCTAGTATCCAGTTCATATTATTCTTTAAAAAAATATTAATCTATTTCATGCTGCTTCTTAAAGTCTCTGAATGGCTCCCAATCATTTTCAGCAGTGGTTCTCAAGTGTTCATAAAATCACACAGCCCACATGTGCCAGTCTAGTAATGTATTTTGAATAAAATAAAAAGCTTTAGGGTTTCAGGTTATTAAGAAAGAGGAGGTGAGGTAGAGATGAAAACAGTTTGAGAGAACTTCCTGAAATGAAAAGAGCTAAGATAGGGGATGGAGGGTGGTGGTGATTTGGGTTTGCACATACATGGCCTCTAGATGGCAGATGGTGGCTACTGGGTGTCTATTGAGGCTGGAGCTTCAATAGTGAGAGTCGCTGTAGACAGGTCTGCGGTCCGTCCTGGAAACGGACCACTACAGGAAGCACCACCAAATTGACCAGGAGCTGGGCACATTACCAATTCTTACCAGCAACAGTTAACAACCAAAGGAACAATAGGGATATTAACTCTGCAGGTGGTAACCAACAAAGTAAGACCTGGTTTCCTTGGCATCATCACAAAACAGAATTTTGTTTGACCTTGCTAAGTAGGTGCTAAGGCAGAGGAAAAGGCGCTCTCATAACGGTGATATTTGACTTTTGTCTCTAGCCAGGAAATGAAGACTTGTTATTAGTTGCTGTCATTGACTCTAACTCATTGCAACCTTTTTCATTACAGAATAACAATACACTGGTATATTGATACACTGCCTGGTATAATTTTTATCTTTGAGTCTACTGTTTCAGCCACTGTGTCTATGCATCTCTCTGAAGGCTTCTCTTGGCTTCACCGACGCTTTGCTTTATCAACCATGATGTCTTTTTTTTAGCAATTAGTCTTTCTTGATGATGTATTCAGAGTAAACAAGCTTAAGGTACATCATTCTCACTTCTAAGGAGCATTCTGGTTATATTTCTTCTAGATTTTGCACTTCTTAGACTGATGTGTTTGTTCTTCTGGCAGTTTATAGTATATTCAATATTCTTTGCCACTACTACAATTTAAAGCATCAATTTCTCTTCTGTCTTCCTGTTTCATTGTTTAGCTTTCGCATGCATGTAAGGTATAATCATATTAAAGTAGTTTACATTTGATTCACAGAAATAAGGATGTGAGACCTATCTCTACCATTGTGGGCCAAAATTGCTACTCACTGAAGAGTCCTTTAGCTACACTATTTCCTTTCTGTTTTGTATTTGAC